GTCTTGGCTGGCTGTTCTTGCTGATCTTCTGGGGGAGGGGCCTGTTGCCGTGGTTCCCAAATGTCTTTTCCGGAGGCAGAATTGCCCCGCCCTTGCTGGGGGCCGGGCTAAGTAATCTGCTTGGGTTTGCTTTTGGGAGCTTTTGTTCCCTGCAAGCTTTCCATACAGCTTTGGAGGATGAGAGTAAAAATGGCGGCCTCCCAATCTCCGCCCCAGAGGAGCCGAGAACTCGGGGCCCGCTCCTCAGTGCGCCCCCAGAGAAAAGCAGTCAATCACTCCCGTCTCCCCGGTCTCTGACTGCACTCCATGCTCACCTGGCCTGTGACCGAGCGTTTCTGTCTCTGGCACACGACCCCGTGTGGAGTCTCCAAACCCAGCAGATCCCTGCGGTGCGCTCCCGTGCCGCTCCTCCTGGGGGAGGAAGGGGAGTCTCCCCGGATCTGCTGCTTGTTGGGTCCCTGATGGAGAGGCAGTGGCTTGACTGTGCCGCGGATCACGGTTTATGGCAACCCCAAGCTGAGAGCCCGCTCCTTGGCTCCATCTTTGCAGCCAGCTTCCCCGCTCCAATACCTGGGAGCTCTGCCGCACTCAGGCACTCCCGGTCTTCCTGTGACCCCGAGGGTCCTGAGACCACACTGTCCCACGAGGGTTCCACCCCCCACTTAGCCACTGGAGCGATGTCCCTCAGCAGAGCTGACTTCTAAAAGTTCTGATTTTGTGCTCCACTGCTCTATCACTCGCCAGAAGTGGCTGATGGAGCCCCCCTCTCCCGCCGTCTATCTTCCCGAATATCGCCTCGGATTCACTTCGCACGTCCTACCTTCCAGAAAGTGGTCACTTTTCTGTTCAGAGAGTTGCTGCTATTCTTTTCTTCGATCTCCTGTTGAGTTCATAGGTGTTCAGAATGGTTTGATCCCTATCTAGCTGAATTCCTGGGACCAGAAGAAATTTAGGTCTCCTACTCCTCTGCCATCTTGCTCCTCCCCCTTAACAGTGTCCTTTGAAGAGCAGAAGGTTATAATTTTGATGAAGAACAATTTATTAATTTTTATGTTATATTTCATTTTTTGTACTCTAAGAAATCTTTGCCTATCCCAAGGTAATAAGGATTTTCTTAGTTTCTTTTCTATAAGCTTTATAGTTTTAATGATTATATTAGGTCTGTATTACATTTCAATTTAATTTTTCTATTTGTTAAATGATATGGAGATAAAAATTCATGTTTTTCCAAATGGACATCCAACACTTTATTGGAAAGACACTCTTTTTCCCATTGAATTACCTTGTCACCTTTGTTGAAAAACAATTGGCCAGATATGTGTGGATTTATTTTTTGACTTTCTATTTTTTCTTTTAATGAGTAACACTATATATCTATAGTGTAAATCATTAAACCGTGTTCTATTTAAAATTTATTTTCACTATTCTAGGTCTTTATTTCTATATAACTGCAAAACCAGCTTATCAATTTCTAGAAAATAAAAGCCTTATGGGATTAAGATTGAAATTCCAGGGGCACCTGGGTGGCACAGTCAGGCATATGAAACTTGGCTTTAGCTCAGGTCATGATCTCAGGGTTGTGAGACTGAGCCCTGTGTCAGGCTCCACACTCAGCATGGAGTCTGCTTGAGATTCTCTCTCATTCTCTCCTTCTGCCTACCTCACTCATGCTGTCTTTCTCTCTTTCTCTTTCTAAAATATATTAAGAAATCTATTAAAAAGATTGATATTCCACTGAATCTATAGATCAATACGATGAGAACTGATATCTTAGCAAATTGAGTTTTTGAGTTCATGGACATGCATTTAAAAAATAATTTGAATATTCTTTAATTCTTCTCATCAGTATCATTTCTGGTATACAGATCCTGTACATACTTTTTAAATTTATTCTTAAGCATGTTTATAGATGCTATTGTTAATGGCCTTTTTAATTAAATTTTCAGTTGTTCATTGATCATATGTAGAAATAAAATTGATTTTTGTATCTTGATCTTATATCCTGTAACCTTTTTAAAGCTACTTCTCATACTTAGCGGTTTTTTAAAAATAGATTTCTCAAGGATTTCCTCACACATGATTATACCTTCTACTCACATAGACAGTTTTTTTCTTCCTTTACAAGCCTTATCTCTTGTATTTCTTTTTCTTGCTTATTGTAAAGGCTGGGAACACCTGTACAATGTTGAATAGAAGTTGTGACAGTAGGTATTTTTGCCTTTTTCTTGATCTTGGGGTGAGACCTTCAATATTTCACTATTAAGTATGATATTAGCTCTAGCTTTTTTGTAGTTGCCCTTAATCAGTTTTAGGAGATACTTTCAGCACTTTGAATATGTCATTGCATTGTCTATTGGCTTACATTATTTCTGAATAGAAGTCAGCATATTTTCTTATCTTTGAACCCCTGAATGGGGTCTCTTATTTTCTTTGTTGCCTTTAAAATTTCTATCTTTATCCTCCACTCTCAGTAACTTGATTATGATATGCAGCTCCCACTCTTGCTAAACTTGGTCTCTGGCACAGCAATTAAATTTTGATTATATTTACCTGTAATATGGGACTCCACAGATCTTAAAGGATTTTGTAAGGATTACTTGGGATGATGTATATAAAAGTATTCTAAAAAGTTTAAAATTTACTACAATGTCTTTCTAATCCAAGAATATTTTCAGTGAAAATTAAAATAGAGACATAGTATTGTTAACAGAATAATGAATGTTGTTACCTTGTATTAAGTTACAGTTTTGTTTTCAAATGACTGTATTGCAGACACTGATTCAGAATATCCAGTTGAAACGTCCAAAATCAAAATTTCCTTGACTTGTTTTCCAAATCACAGTTTATGTTATTTGTGCACATGTCTATTCATTTTAGTCCTTTAGAAATTCCTTGAGAATGCTCAAATCATTCATAAAAAAACATCAGTTATCTTATTTAGCAGAAGTTGATATAACTGCCATAATTTCCAATAAGTGCATGTGAAACCTACACAGTGTATGACATACAAATATGGCACTAATACTGAAAGTATAATACAACCTAAAAATGAAATGCATTATGTTACTGATAAACATTACACACTGACCAGTCTGGGTAAAAGATTAACTTTGCAGAGTTCATTGTACTTTTATGAAACACTTTCATATGCGCAATCTAATCTATTCCTCAGAACATCTTCATGAGCTGGTAAGTGTAAGACTCCTGCTTCTACACGAAAACTCTATGTATAGTTATTTATGAAGTCATTTAACATGAAATATTACTTGTCCTAAAAAGGCAATCTGTTTTGTCATGATTATGCTTTATAAACTTTTTCCCCCCATATTTTCACTTTCTTATATCATTCAGTTGAGAATTTCAGATCATTCTGTGTTCCAGGCTTCATCAAAAATTTCATGTGAGTTTTCTGAAAGTTGGCATGAAAATGGACTTGCCACAATAATGTCATGGACTTGTAGGATGCATACTTTGCTGAACTTAAATTCCATTTCTAAAATCTAGTGTTTGGTACCAGATGTGGAGAACGAATCACCATCTTTTTTATGAAGAGGGCAAGGTTTAATTAGCCTTTTTCAAAAGACTTATTATACATTTCACCTATAAACTGAAAGAAGAAAATTACGCATTTTAAAGCAGGATGAAAGTAGAGGTGATAGCCACAGCTGCTGTCGTCTCTGACAAACCATTCTGAGAGGCTCCAGTTTCATTTGGTTCAGATGAAACACATGTTGCTCATTTATTGTACATGTGTTTCAATGTATTTTGACAAATCTGATCTAAAAATGTTACAGATGTTCCTCATTATTCTAATTTGCACTTAGTAGCAATAGACACCTATAGAGAACGTGTCTATATACCAGCTGTTTCACAATATAATTAAAAGAAAATTTAGCTATCATTAATATATGTGAGTTTCAATTCAATTTTAGGTATAGTTTTGTGATATAGCTAGTGAGTGATACACTTTCAACAGGTGTTCTAATTTTTTTCTGTGAATGAAGACAAAGCTTTTTTTTTAAACAAGTTTCAAATAATTTCAGGTGGATATGAAATTACTCTGATCTTAATGTCTTTTAGAGATTTGCTATTCAATGTATGACCTGAGATCAGGCAGTGGTATTATAACTTGAGTACTTACTAGAAGTGAAGAACCTCAGGTCCTACCCTAGATCTACTGAAAGAGTCTGCATTTTAACACAATCCCCAGGTGATGTGTATACACATTAGAGTTTGACTAGCACTGTTTTAGAAGAGGTCTTACATTAAAACTCTGTTTTGTACACACATATATGCATACACATATGGGTCAAACCTGCAACTCTATGCTATACACATCTGTTTATACAGATATTGTAAAGAGTGGCCTGGCCTGTAGATTGAACTGTTTATTTTCTTATTATTTAATACATTAAAAAGTAACCTCACCAGTACTTTCCAAAGGCTGTCTTCCATGAATAAAAAAACCCATATTCATAAGTACTGGTGTACCACACTTTTTCATTGACTGATACATGAAGGAAACTGAAGAGCTTCTACTCCAACTTAAATCTTTTAGAATTCTCATTTTTTACTGTTTTCTGTAACTTTCTATAGAATAAAGTTGGTTGTGAACAATGGTGGATTTTATTATTACATTGCTTTGCCATGAAAAAACAAGAAGCAGGACTGCTTATAAGATTAAAGAATTTAATTTCTTGGGAAATAAATTTGATTTTAACATATCTTACTACTGATGGTTACCTTGGGAAATGATTGTGTGTTAATTAAATATATCATACTCTAGTACTATATTATACGTATATATAATTTACTGCATTATATTATTTAACGTAATTATCAGTTATATCTCAATATGTGATATAAAATAAAATTTATACTTAAAAGGACCTCTGAATCATGCTGCAAAGTAACTCAATTCCTTAAAATTTAATTTTATTGGCCATCATATTTCCTATATGTATATGCCAGCAGAAATAAGCATAAGGTATAATTCTTATCATAGAAGAAATAGAATAACTGATACTATTTCATTTTATGATCCTTAATTGAAATCTATGACAAAATAATTTCATATAGTTCAAAACTTACTTAGTACATTGTCACTAACAAAAAGGAGGTTGAAAAATGTTAAGAAAAAAATCTCTAATTTGCTACCACCTGGTTAATCCCTTTTTTGCAGTTCCACCAGATACACACCTCCATGATCTACCTTGGGAGATGAAAAAAGATCCTTTTAGGTAATCTATTCATAATTTCTGTTGGTACCACAGCAGCGTATCGTTAGTTTACCAGCTTGCCATACATCATACATTTCTGCCCAAGAGACCTTCCAAAACTATCAATATTAGGTTGCACAGACATCTAATAGGCAAATACTCTGATACATTTAACCATGTATTAAATGATACAGCATAGTGGTACAACTCGTCCTGAAAAAGGTACAAATGTAGACAGTACAAAGTACTCTACAGCTCCCTATGAGCAATCGCACTGTTTCATTTTTCTTTTTGTTTTTCAAACTAAAGATCACAAAGCAACTTACATAGCCCTAAGTGTCCCTGAAGAGCTACTGTGTGTTGTATAAAGGCTGAGTAATCCCGGCAGTGTCAAGGGGTTACTGTTCAGCTGTTGGAGATCACGAGATGATATCTCAGCACTCATAAAACAGAGGATTCAAAACCCAGGGGTGTACACGGAAGTACAGAGCATTAGGACAGTCCTGGAAGTTATCCACAAGGAACATTAACACCCTGGAGGCCAAAATAACACGACCAAATCAACATTTACAATTCTTGTTCAAGATTCAATCCAATATGTGGGGAAAATTTACCTGGAAACATTCATGCTAATCTAATGATCATTTTCTATTTGGCTCATTCCAAAAATATGGAAGACTTCAAAAATCTCTGGGATCTCTTTTCTTAAACATTTTCAATGTGTATTCTGTACAAAACAAAATGACTATCCTGAATTAGCTATTTCCTAGAACTATTCCTAAAATGTCAATCCATTTAGTAAGGCACAGTAACAGAAACATAGACCTTTCTTTAAGGTTACACATTTCAATTCAGAAGAATGAGGGGGAAATTTTGGCCCCCGGGGTTTGAAAATATCTTCCGGTTGTAATCTTTGGTCTGGATATTTACATGGTGGTCTCTTCCCATTCAAGCTCAACATCACCTATAACATAAAGTTACATGTCACAAGAAAGAACTGAAATTACCAGTTCAAAAGATTTAAATGTTTCATGGCAAAAACAGAGTGCAGATACAGAGGCTATTACCCTAACTTGGATTAGAGAAGAATAATAAAAATTTGTTATGTGCATTAACCAAGCTTCTAAAACATTTTTATCATGTGGTTATTATTAAATCAATGCTCCTGGTACACTAGTAAATTGGTACACGTTGCCTCTGTTTACCTTCCATGGCATCCAAAGAGTCCATCTTCTGAAGTGCTGAATAGTTAACAAAACAGATGGGCTGATTACTTCCTTTACTTGATAAGAGATCCAGAATGCATTGGTATAAAAAAATATACTGTGCCTAGACACCAAAGAAAGAGCGTTAAATAAATGGGTGGGGTGGATTTTTAAAAATTATTTCAAAAAATTATTTTTCTTATAAAGGGAGCTATACTGTCACAGTGAAAAGTAATGCTGAATTTAAAAATGTTAGATAGCTAAGTGAGAAGCATAGAATTTACCATGTATATAAATGATTTTGTACCATCTCAAACATCAGGTTTTCTAAATTCCTATGGCTTCCTCTAGCTTCAAGTTTTTTTTTTTAATACTTAGCATTAAACCCCATGCTACTTTGTTCTTGCTTGCTGTGATTATAAAAATGTGGCAAATTAGGTTATTTAGATCTGTTTATGAATTTCCTTTTTCCTGTTAGGTCTAAATGAGTAATTTTCCTTATAAATAGTTATCTTGTTAGAATGATTAGAATGGCTATTGGAATGCAGATGATACATTTGCTTTCACTATCTGTGAGTAAACATATCTATACACCATCAGCACATTTAAAATAAGTTCGACAATTCTGTTAATCACCTGACATTTGGCCTACTTAATGTCAAGTATCTGGTCTTTATTTGTAAGTACAAGGCAGTTGATCACTGAAATATCCAAACACCCATGTCCTGGACAAGGACCTCTAACATTTCATCTGAATGTTTAAGCTAAATTCAGTACCATCTAGGTTCTTTAAGTTTTTTCAATATAATTCAATAACCTGTTAGCATTTCTGAGTTTGGGCTTTCCCACAGGTACTTAAGGTTAAGTCATAGAAAATTACCCTCCTTTTTACACAGGAAACATAACTGATGTTAAAGGAACATACTCAAATATTTATACTATATATTACATATTATTATATACATATGTATATTGACAATTGATTTAAATAGAATGTCCTCTAAAGTGACCATCTTGAGAGCTATATATTCATATCTATTGCTACTGTATCTCAAACCCTTTTTGGAACTCCTCTACTGAAACTGGCTTCAGAAACTGTTGGTCATTATTACGAGTATTTATTTCTTCAAGAATTACAAAATGCTTCCACAAACATCTCCTCAGCAGGGTGTCAGTTCTGGGAGGGCAGAACTCTGTCATATTCACTGCTCTTTTCCCATTACCTGTAATAGCGCCTGGCATTTTGTAGTTATGTAACAAATGTTTGTTGACTCAGTATCATTTAATTCTCACAAGTAGCCAACCTTTACCATTTAAGGAAGGATTTCATTTGGAGAACATTCAGAAGTCATTAGGGATTAAGTTTTGTCATTGAGTGGACGATCAAGTTACAGGATCCAATTTTGGGAAGAAAGGAAGTGTCGTTATACAGTAATGAAAATCCCGTTGAAATTGCTAGTAAACTACTTCTCAAGGTAATTCTAAAAAAGTGTTTCTCAAATATATGTCACACAATGAATAACATTATTGGCAGAAATATATGGACCCGATATAATTTCTTTAAAAACAATAATCATTTGAATTGATGAGTTTGGGTAGTTTTTACAAATCACATGTGAATTTGAAGTCACATTTGATATGTGAAGCTTCAGACTGTCCGATCTCATTTTCTCCACTGGAAAGAATGATGGGTGCAAACTCTGCCAGCAGGCCAGGCTGGGCTCCACAGGGCAGGACTATATTTTCCAAGATCCCTCTGTCATGGTGTGTTACTGCCAAAGAGGCAGTGGAGGGCTCAGTTCCAGTTCCTGCTTTAGATAATCACCATACCTTAAGAATGAAACTTGTCTGATGTTTAGCTTCCTCATCCGGGAGATCATAACGCCTATGTTGTGATATTTAAAGAACTTACTATATGTAAAGTGCCTGGCAAAAAACTAGGCAACCCAAGTATATTAGGTTTTTTTTTTTATTTCTACCCTAAGACTTCACATCAGTAAATTTCTAGGAAAACCAGAGCAGGAAAGGGACTCATCCAGATCAACCCTTATTTGAGGGACTGATAGCAGCTCAGGATGTTATCTCACTGAGGACTATTCTCTCAGAAAGTTCTGGAGGCTGCTATGAACTGTTTTTTGGTAGACAGTGAAAGAGCTCAAAGCTCTCTCCTGGGTCTGGGCTATGTCCCCAGAGCAGCCTTTTAGGGGTAATATATTCTGAGGTTCCCACCTCCCCACCCCTGCCCATAGCTACTGTAGGATGTGCTGAGACAGAATTTTTCATTGAAACTGCAATCATTCCCAAGTGCAACAGAGGAAAATAAGAAAGCATTCTTGGGCAAGGCAGTACTGGTTTGTAAGGGCTGGAGCCAAGACTGTGGTCATTTTCCTTTTTATCATCAGAGAGAAAAGATGGTAAAGAGCAAAACTTCTGGGAAGGAAGTCAGGTGAAAGAGAGCTTCTGAGTACCAGCTTTTCAGCAAGGAGGGAATCCAGCAGAATTCTGTCAGACATTTACTACATGCTGGGCATTGACTGCATGTTTGGTGCTTTAGATAGTTTCTCTTATTTAATACTGACCATAAGTGTGTGAGAAGTATAACATGGCTATTTTACAAAAGAGAAATAGCTCAAAGGGGCTAATTAAACAAGCCACAGAGCCAGCAGTTAATTAAGTAGCTGAGCTGAAATTGTAACGCAATTCTCTGACTTCAAAATTCATGCTCTTTCCATTCCCTTACCCAACTGTAACATATTGCTCGGGCTGGTTAAACAAGCATAATGTATGAAGTTTAGAGCATATATTGCATACTAAATTGTGTGAAATTATTAACAAGCATTCCTGAACATACTCTTTACAAAGTTCAGTTCCACAAAATTATAGAGCGTGGCAAAATATTTTCAACTTTTACTACCTGAAGAGTGACTCTAGTTTCTAGAAGGAAACAAGATCCTGATTTGGCCCACCCTCTACCCTATCTAAAAGAGCCAACCAATCTTGATCAATGTCAAGAACACTGAGCACCTGTGCACATGTGTAATCTAGGGACATGGGAGGAAAACGTTAGCTTTCTGTTTATTCTTATTGTTAACAAAAATAAGAAAGAATTGGGGTGTTAATAATGGTTAATAGTTGGATTGATATTGGAACCCTTATAATTGAGAACAAGCTACCTAATTTGTGGGCCCACTGCAAAATGAAAATGAGTGTTTCCTCCATCAAAAATTATCAAAGATTTTCAAGACAGTGACAGCAAACCTAAAGTGCAGTGCCCTTTTGAGCATGGGGCCCTGTGACATTGCACAGGCTGCACACCCAGAAGTCAAGCCTGGTCACAAGTTATGTTCTATTTCTGAAGTATCCCAAGGGAAGAGTGATTCTTCACTCCTTTGTTCCCCTTTAGCATATAGGGTAATGCATATGGATTACACAGCCTAGTTTTCCCTAACCATCACAAAATTGCAGTGGCTTAAAAAGATTCCTACAAAGAGACCATGGATTGAAGGTAATATTTATCACGTAAGCCCAAATGAATGACAAGGAAATGGCAGGGCTGATGTTCTTTGTGCTTCTAGAATAAACTTATAGCCATCCTATGAGGTAAAAAGAACAATAATGTAAGGAAATCTGACAAAAAGCTAAATAACTTTTTAAAAAATTATAAATAATTTAGAATATATATTTAAAATCACTATTGAAACAGAATTATCCTGTGCTATGTATCACTATCTTAATGATAATATGAAGGCATCACAATTAGTAAGATTTCAAAATATTTCTTATTTGATCTTTATCTCATGTTTTCTATTTCTCATTTTGTATATGTTTTATAATTTACCTAATTGTTCAATCTACGTTTAAAAAATAAATATGGAGTTATTGGAGTTGAATGCTCAAACATTCTTCCTGAAAGGGTTGTGCAGTCCACAAAGTTTAGATGTCTCTGGTCTAGAGCAGCATCTTCCTAAGAACATTAATGTTCCCCTACATGGCATTATAGATTCTGGGTCAAAAGAAGTTCAAGGATTTCACAATCATGTAATTTTGGGAAATGATGCTCACAAGGGCTCTGGATTTATAACTCTCAATGTACACTTGCATAGAGGCTTTAAGAAATTCTAAGATCAGTTTAACTTCTTTTCAAACTTATTTTTAGCCAAGAACCTATTTTCTCACACCTTTAACAACTCTGATGCTATATGAGTTTTCTAGTAGGTATTGTGGAAAACACTATTACAGCAGATCCATATATTTACTGTGAGAAAACTTCCATTTGAAGAGTATAGAAATATCAATCCAAATATACAGAGAGAAACATCTTACATATTATAGTTAGACACTCTTGGGTTTGAATTTTGGTTCTCAAACATTAATTGTATAATCTTGAAATATCACTTAAATTCTCTGAATGGATCATCTGCTTCTTTATTTGTAAAGCAAAGCTAATAATACCTAGTCTGGTGATTAGTTTTATTGATACTGCTTTACAAACAAAGGATTAAATAAGATAACTCATATAAAGGATTATTATAGAAGATGGAACTCACTAGACACTCAATGTAAGGTTTTTAGTCTCATTACCATTATACTATATGATTTTTTTAATGAAGAAAAATCTCTATATTTTATAAATGTTTTTGCCTTTAAACCAAAACAACGAAACAAAAAACTCCCAGGGAGTTAGTTGATAAGATGCTATGACAATTGTTATTAGTATACAACAGGGATAAATATGGACAAGAGAAATACATAGAACCCCATAACAGTCAATATTTTAAACTTTTCCAAATATAACATTCAGCATGTTTATGAAAGAAATTGATTTGATGCATTTCCTGAGCTTCCCAAATTTGCCAAACACTAAAGACATCAATTTCTGAAATACTTTCTATATGCCTATCAGTATAAACGAGCTAGGATGAGCAGTCAGTAACAGTGCTGAGGGGTGACTGTGCCTCGTGGAATGCCCTTCCCAAACCCCTTCCCCTCTAGGAGGTTTATCATGTCGAAAAAGAGGGTGTCTGCTCTGCAAATAAAATTTCAAGTCCATGCCCAACCAGACTGCTGCCATTAAAGGACTCCCTTGTAGAAATTCCAGAGCTGACATTGCACAAGATGTTAGATATCTTACCAGGTTCTGGACCATGCACATTCTTTCACTTCTCAGTTCAGCTACTAATCCATATATATCCACAAAATCGTGGTCATTTATATGTTGTGTTAAGTGGTCCAGAGCAATAAAAACTCCAGTTCTTCCCACTCCAGCACTGTAGGAAGAGTAAAATTACATGAATGTTTTTCAGCAAAAGTCTGTTTATGTTGATAGTGAGGAAGAAAGTGAACTATGGTAGTAAAAAATTCCAAACAGGTCCTTTTCTTATTTGGAAGAACTTTTTTTTTCAGTGTCTTTAGATTTGTATTGTTACTAAGACTGTTTAGATAGATCAAGATGATTAACATTAGCTCTCTATCAAATGTTTGAGGTTTTGTTTTGTTTGTTTGTTTTTTACCAGTTGAACTTTTCCTCTTCTTTCATAAGGGGTGTAGTTGGAGAAGTATAGAGAAGAATTTTAAAATAATTGTTGAAAATTCTTGGGGTGTCTGGGTGGCTCAGTCAGTTAAGTGTCTGTCTTTGGCTTAGGTCATGATCCCAGGGTCCTGGTTCCCTGTTCCCCAGGGAGTCTGCTTGTCCCTCTCCCTCTGCCCCTCCCCCCAGCTCATGTTCTCTCTCACTTGCTCTCTCTCAAATAAATAAAATCTTTTTAAAAATTGTTGAGAATTCTTAACACCAGAAACTTTGTACTGAACATATTTTTGATTACCGATAGAAATGCTAAACATTAAAAACATCCACTATTTAGCCCTATAGCATTTTCTCTGTATTTATTGGCAATCTCTCATGTGTTCTTTTCACTTTCTTTTCTTAGATTTTTTTTTTTACTTCTTATAGATAATAAAATTGAAAAGCTATTTCCTTTAAAGAAATTAGTTTAATACCCAGGGACAGGTATGTGCTCCATAGAAACTGTGAATTGATAAACTTGACAAGATTTATGCAGAAATTCCCATTAGAAGGACAAGAATCTTGGTATTTGAATGGCTAACCTAGGAAGGAAATATAAAAAGAACAACAAAAGACACGTGGAAGGTCATTTAGTCTTACAAATGTTACTTTGAACAACATAAAAGTGTCATTTTTGTAGGTAAGAAATACTTCAGCAATATCCCATGGTTCAACCATATAAGAAAGAATGAGCATTACAAAATAAATTCGATTTTGGCAACACATATACACATATGTTGAACAGTGTAATCTGTCATGACATCAGTCAATATACCTTGAGTGTCAGACCCTGTAATAGGCATCCGGGGTACAGCTGTGAACAACAATACAAGGTCCTTGCACTTATGGAGCTTACTCTCTAGAGGACAGAGAAGGACAGTACACAACTAAGCAAACATGCATAGCATGTGCCCGGCGGTAATAAGTGCTATGAAGAAAGATAAATCAGGTTAAGGAGACGGCGTCTCTGATTATGTAATATTTGAAAAGAAACTTGCATGAGGGAGCACAGTGTGGGTATTCGGAGGGGCGTGCACTGCAGCCGGAGGGAGTGGGGGGAGAAGAGATTTGAGTGGCGCATGTTCTGTGTGTTTGAAGAAGCCAGGAGCCCAGGGTGGGGAGAATGCAGTGGGGAGGTGAGAGGGGTAAGACATCAGAGTGTCTGATGCAGGGCTGCCCCGGAAGGTGAGAGGAAGAGCAGAGTCAAGGATGCCTCCAGGGTTTGGGCGCCACACAGAAGGGATCTGCCCTTTACCAAGATGGGGGATGAGAAGGAGGAGTGAGTTTGGAGATTGAATCAAGCGTTCTGTTTTAGACAAATCAAATTTTCAGAGTTTTGTGGTCACTCAGGTTGTCACATCAAATTGGCAGTTAAATGTATATCTGAGTTGAGGTGAGAAGTCGGAGTTAGAGATAAACATTTAGTAGATAGTTTTCAATGATACTGAAAGAGAATTATTAATATGAACATACTTTTTTCTGAACTCTTTTAACCATTTCAATCACAAAGAAGGAGATTCCCTCTCTTTTTTATTATGGATTAAAGTATAGTTGACACACAATGTGACATTAGTTTCAGGTGCACAACATAGTGATTTAGTAAGTTTACATGTTAATGCTGTTTACTCCAGTGTAGCTACTATCTGCTCTCTGCTCTGTTTGAGGCTACAGGGGTAATATTAGGTACTTTTCTAACAGACTTCAGTGGCAGTGGCAGTGTATATGCAAGATACAGAGAAGCTGAAGGCAGCTACTTTCCATTAAAGGTTTGAATCATCAATGACCCAGCTTAAAAGCAATCATCGACTTTAGAAGCAAACTGTTACTCTATGTACACTGTATACTATTCTGTTGAAAATGTTATGTATAGGGAGGGGGAAATGGAATTGGGAGGGCAAAAATGACACTTATTTTTTGTTCTATATGCTTTTTAAATCTAAGCACTATTTAGATATTTTATAATGAGCAAGCATTTATGTATTACCCTTATAATTTAAAAAAAATCCACAATATTCCCAGAAAATATATAATCGTTTAAATTACACAGTGACTTTTTTCCTCTAAATAAGAGTAAAAATTTGGATGGATTGATATTTTCTTGCATCATTAACCACATTAATTATAGTATATACCTGTTAGAAAAATTATCAATTAACTATTGGAATTATTACAATTAATAATGTATTAATTATTAATGTGACTAAGATACTGTTACTTAAATTTTTTTATTGTAGTAGAGGATAGATAACATAAAATTTACCATTTTAAGCATTCTTAAGTACACAACTCAGTCGGTGTTAAGCACATTCACAATGCTGTGTAACTGTCACCACCATCCATTTCCAGAATTTTTCATCATCCCAAACAGATGTTCTCATTAAACAACTAATTAGACAATGTACCCATTAAATAATAACCACCCTTCTCTCTCTTCCTTGAGTCCCTGGTAACCACAATTCTACTTTCTGTCTCTATGAATTTACCCATTCTAGGTACCTCATGTAAGCAAAATCATAAAATAGTGTATTATTACCTACTTTTTTCTCTAATTTACAAACCAATTGTTGAAGAGACTCAGGTTGAGACTTATTTAGATTTATTATGTTAGAAAACAATCAAATCCACCTGTCCAGAAAAAACTCTGAATTCTAAACAACCTTGAGTTTTATTTCTTAGAGTGTTAAATACCAATGAAAATAAAGCAGAGAAAAACTTCAATTTATAGTTTTATTCTCTTAACCATGTTCAAAGAGCTAGTCAAAGGAAGATGTGTGTAGCTGAAGTTTGTAAAAAATTGTTGTCATACTTGGGTTGGTCACTTAATTTGATCTTTATTATAAAGTTCATTTTCTTTTATTCTTTACAACTCAAATCTAAAAATTTGCTTTTATGAAAAAAATTTAAATTATGGTAGTAGACTAATGCCAATTGTAATAATAAAGGATCGGAATGTTTATTTGTAAAAATTCTTAAAATCCTACACACACACACACACACACCCCTATCAATGAGGGGCCACAGTTTAAAAAAAAAATTAAAGACTTTCCTCTGAGAGGCATAATCCAGTCAAGAGTTCAGGAAGATTCCCTTACCAGTAAGATACTTTCCCTTGCTTTAAGACACCTTCACTACTCATTTTATTTTTGCCATCTAACCTCTTATAAAGCTAAAATTTGTTCCATTATGACCTGTAAAACATCTGAAAACTGGAAATTGGAAGCTACATTAACCTCCTGCCAGAAAATAATCAACAGTATCATGATAATAAAAAGACCACACTGACTTTAAAGACCATTTCTAGTGTTTCATATAAGGTTCTGAAAGTCTCTTCCTTACCTGCAGTGAACAATCATGGGTGTGGTGTCATGCGCTCTGCTTGCTCGAACCAATTTTACAAAGTGAACTAGAGGGGCACTGTTTTCCGGGACCCCATGCTCAGGCCAAGCAGTAAAGTTACACTGTCGAACAGTCATGTAATCTCCATGCTAGGTAACATGACAGATTAAAGAAGCATGATACGATTACTAAAGTACCACAATAAAGGTGTAAGGCAGATGATGTCCTATCTTTTGAAGGTGCTCTTTTAAAAATAACTATTTACCAAACAGGAGAAACTATGTTTTTCATGATTTCCTGCAAGATAGATCTTCTATTATAGCTACAATGAAGCAAATTGCCTTCCAGTATGAATGGAAACAATAAAAAAGCTTGCAAACAGATGATAATATAGAGTGTTTATATTGCTGCAAGGGACAGTTCTAGAAATTAATTTTACTTTTAGACATTTAGAGCATTCATATTTACTATTATTTTCCCCTCCCTTGCCTTTTTTTTACCCTTTCAATTTTCAGATCCCTGATGGTCCAATCTATTTGAACATCCTCCATTAGCTTCGTAATCACTATATCTCCAAAGACGGTAACTGGTTTGTTGTCCTCTGGCCAATACTGATGGCATCTGATCTGTATTCAGAGAAAATCACCAATCGTAAGAACCATTGTTATATTGATCTATATATCACAGTTATTGCTACTAAGTTAAAACTGCCTTATAGATGTCCAAATTATTGATGACTCACAGTATTAGCTGAAATTGTCACACATATATTAAGACAATTGTAAAATAACATCTTGTGAAAAGATTTTCAGATAACTTACCCGCCCTTTTTCAAAACACTGCGTTAGCATTACTAATGTTTTTGCTCTGGTTTCCCACACCATTCTCCAAAAATCCCCAACAGTTCCTGGTAATGGACCTTGAGTGGCAATAAATTCATTTGGACATAAGTAGCCCTAAAAGGATATAATTGCAACATTAAATCAACATTTACATGTACAGTATTTTTTTAGCTTTTGAGCAACAGATAAAAATATACTAGTTGTAAAATATATAATACAATGTGGAATTCACCCACAATCTCACTATCCAGAATGAAGTACCATTAATATTTTGGTGATTTCTTTCAGTATTAAAATATGTACATTCCTCCATTGAAATAATATTTATGAGTTTCTACTGTGTGCCAGGCACTGTCCTAGAATTGGGGATTCATCACTGACAAAAGACACTAAAATTCCCATTCTTATTTATTTTATATTCTTTATATTTATATAAATTAATATATTGATATTTATTTTATATTATTTATTTATTATATAATAGGGGAGATAGACATTAAGTCCATTAAGTCTGTTAAATAAGCAAGTTACATAGAACTTTTAAAAGTGGTAAGTGCTATGTGAGAGGGCTTTAGAAAATAGAATGTTCAGAAAAGAGTCACTGGTGATATCTTAGGAAAGCCTTGAAGAAGTAAGGGAGTGAGCTCTGTAGGATTTGGGGGCAAGTGTTCCTGGTAGAAAGTCAAGTGTAACAACATTAAAGGAAAAATGTGTCTAGAATTTTCTATGAACACCAAATGGTTAGAGTGGAGTAAACGAGGAGGGGACAGTTATAGAAGATGACATAGGAATGAACAGAGGAGGGAGGGTTAGGGTGCTTTAGGTCCTAGGAGGTAATTACAAGATTTTGGTTTTTACTTGGGATGATCTAGAAACCTGTTGAAAGGTTTTGAACATATAGAGTATATGGTTTAACAATTTTACTCTGATTTCTATAAGAAGACCAGCCTTTTAACCAGGGCTAAAAGGTGAAAGGAGGAGAATAGCTCGAAGGTTTTTGCAATGATCAAACCAAGGGGGTAGTTTGGGTGATAACAGGCGGATGGTGAGAAGTGACAGAATCTGGATGTATTTTGAAGACAGAGTCAATAAAATTTGTTGATGGATTTGATACTGGGTATAAGAATCAGTAAAAATTTCAAAGGAAGATTGGGAAGACTTCGGGATATGCAGGTTTGAAGGGAAAATTAGGAATTCATTATGGACCTATTAAACTTGAAATCCTTGTTAGATATTCAAATGGGAATATCGTGAAGGCAATTGGGTATATGAGTTTGGAATTCAGGAAGAAATCCAAACTGGAAACAAATTTGAAACTAATCATCACACAGATCTCAGTTAAAATACAAGAATGGATGAAATTATCAAGGAAAATAATTTGGAAAGAAACAGTAAATTCAAGGATTGGGCTCTAGATAATTCAAGTGTTTGGTTGTGGAGGAGAAAACAGAAAACCAAAGGGAACTGAGATGAAAGAGTCAAAGCTGTAGATGGAAAACTGTGAGGATGATGTCCTGGATGCAAAATGAAGAAAGTGTTTCAAGGATGAGGACAATTAACAGGAATCAATTTATAAAATGTTTCTCCTGGTCATCTGCATTTCCCTTTCTCAGGGACTAAATGTCCTATGGTACTATAATATTCTATCAATGTGGGAACAATTCTGATATTTCTGATGCTATTACAGCTCATTTGCATCATGACCTTTAATCTTTAATTTCTTTTTTTTAATTTAAAGATTTTATTTATTTATTTGACAGAGAGAGACAGCGAGAGAGGGAACACAAGCAGGGGCAGTGGGAGAGGGAGAAGCAGGCTTCCCACCGAGCAGGGAGCCCAATGCAGGGCTCGATTCCAGGACCCTGGCACCATGACCTGAACCGAAGGCAGACGCTTAATGACTGAGCCACCCAGGCACCCCTAATCTTTAATTTTTAATCATGGTAAAAATCTCTCGGGTTAAAGTAGTTTCAGGCATCTCAAGTAGAGATAATTATGAGGGTTTGGTGCCTTTCTCTTGTCCCATTTACATAATGTTTTTATTGTTAATTCTCTTGAAAACCTTTCTAAACTCATTTGTAAAGTTAGTGGCTGTTTACAAGGATGCAGTATCTCTTTCTCTCCCTACCTCTCTCCCACAGTCCATCCATCATCAAAATGTTCCAAGCTCCCTGTGAGTCCTAGCTACGGGAGCACAATTCACAAGGACAGCCAAAGGCAGAGAGATAAAGATGTATTAATCTAGCTGCAGACCCTGGCCTGGAGTTTCCCAATCTTAAAGGATATCCCACAGATGTACTTAAAGTACATCACTTCTCCCTTTTCCTTTCCCCAGACTTGAGTTCTTTGGCTTTTCCATCTGAAGACTAGTTATTTTGTTTTCTTCCCTACCTCCCATTATAGTTCTCCTCCCTTCTTCCTCTAGCACCCTGAGATGTTCCATTTGTAGATGGCCTCTGTCTTTTGCTCCTGGAACAAGTGTTCATGAACTTTCAGATGGAGGTGCCATGGAAAAAAACTGGGAAGGCAGAGGGAATTGATGCATCAGACTTTTCTTTCTGAGAAGCCTTCACTCTTCTGAGGGAAGACTGCCTGAATTTGGGGACAGCGAAGTGAGGGCCACTATGGTATCATGGCTTTCCTATTCCCAATCTGTTCCTGGCATTCCAATCCAAGGAGATTTACCCAAGAGCTAAGAGCAACACTATACTTCCATTCCAAATCTGAAATCTGCCTTAACGTAGAGTGCTTTCCATCTGGGCCTGCTTACCATGCAGCTCAGTAATGATTATGCATATCATTACAAATGGGTCATAGTGACTCTGTTGTAAGATTTATTGTATTACAACATCACTTGATTATAGCAGGCCATATATATTCAGAATTCTTAGTTTATTGCTCATCCTGCATTATCATCTTCTTATGGCTGTTTCCTGACAACCTATAATATTTAGAGGGAGCACTGGGTGTTCATGAATATTCCTTTGTTCATGTAAATCTATGTGGTTTAGTTACACCTACTAAAACTGACAGTTTCCTTTCTAATCATATTCATACCCTATACTGTCACCCTATATCTGACTGAACATTAGAGAGAATGTGAGTTATTCTTTTGTACCTATTTATTAGTGAATAAAAATGGTACAAATCAATAGATCACTTATACAACCATTTGCCCTTGCCCTGTTCTATAGTATCACAAAACATATGATCATTAGCACACTGATTAATTTAAATGCATATATGCATCATTCTGTAAATCAAAGTAGAACTTCAACATGCTATAGGGTTTAGGCTGCAATGAAAATTAGTAAGCACAATATTTCACCCAAATCGTTAGAGAAGAATTACATTTTCAAGGGAATCAATCATTTGGTAAGTGACTAAAACATGTCACAATAGAAAATGTGTGTGGTTTTTCAAAATGGATTTAAAGTTCTTGCATAAAAATAGGCTGGAATTCAAAGAATGCTGTAACTTCTTCAAACCCTCCCTCATTTCCCCTATTAAGAAATCTTAAATTCTCCCTTTACGTATCCCTTTCACAATAAGACTCACTATATGATTGCAATTTTGGAGTCATTATCAACCAATATAGAATTTAGAAAGAAATGTTCCCCCTTAACAGGGGTCTCAAGGAGATGGGACACAGAACAAGTTACATTAATGGGGAAAGGATGGAGCATCACAGAAGCAGAGTCCCAGTGGGACCAAAGGGCAGGCCTGGGAGTGATGACCTACGAATAAGAAAAGAATATAAGGCTGTGGACACTAGAGGAAACCCTCAAGGGTCACCATGATAAGGATGGCTAACTTTGCTATATGTTAGAGTTGAAGCCAGTGGGTAAAAATATAAGGGAGCATATCTTGTTTTTAAGAAAACAACTGTATATTGGAGTTGTTCAGAGATACAATCATCTGCCTTAGGAGGAAGTAGGTGAAACAATGCCAAGAGAGGCTAACATCTAATTATCAGGATTTCTTCAGAAACAGTTCCGAGGTGAATGGTTGAATTTAATGACTGCAAGGGCAAGGGCAATTCCACGTGTCAACCTTAGTGCAGATCGTGGGTGCATTTCAAGTTTCTATGTACCTGTGATAGTGATGAGCATTGAGAGGGTAAGAGGGTCATATGGAAGGAGAGGGGGAGAGAGATCCCTAAAACACTTTGGTTTCATTTGATTTTTAATCTAATGCAGCAAGCATTTATTATCCATAATGTGCCAGATAGTACATTAGGCATGTCACAGTTCATCCTGCATTGGTTCATTTACGGTTTTTGAGCAGCTACAATGGAGTGCACATTCTACAGGTAACTGAGGATCAAAGAAAACATGACATCATAGTCTCCTTCAAGAACTGAAAATCTAGACGGCAAGAAGAGAATAAAATTTTTATATTGTATAGACATAACTATTTGTCTTTTTCTTTGTAAGAGAGATTGACAGACATTGTCCTTGTGTACAAAGAATGTGTATAGTGGAAAGGCCTGGGGATATGAAGCTTGAAGTTATATATCTTTCATTTATTAGTGAAATGATTGTTGGTAAATTGTAATCTCTATGAGGAGCCCCCATTTCCCCATCTATAAAATGGAGGTACCTAGTGTTGTTGCAAGGAATTGGCACATGAAATCCATAGAGTTTATAACAAATTTCTGATTTAAAATATTTGGAAGAGTAATATAATTGAAGTATTTATGCTTTATAAGAATATAAAACATAAAAAAATAGCAACTTACAGAAACATAGCTGGCATTAATATAATCCGATCCTGGAATACTAGCATCAGCTATCAGCTTCACTCTATTATTATTATCTAGAGGAAAATATAAGACAGTAATGCTAATTCATTATTTAAATTGCTACTACTTGATTTTACTATAAAAGTAATACAAAGAAATTCATGATGTAACATCAAACACTACAGATGGTCATAATTAAATTAGAAGTTCCCTCTTATCCCATATTTCCACTACCCAGAGACAATGACTATTAATATGTTCTTGTATATATTTCTAGAATCTTCTATACAATTTCATAAAAATTAACCACAAATGGAGTGATACACATTCTTTTCTGCAATATTTTTCATTTACCTGTATCTTTCCATATATAATCATAACAAAAATGTCTAGTTCATTATTTTAAGCAGCCATATAGTATTTCGTTGTTTGAATAAAACATACTAATTTAACTCTTATGATGATTTCAATTCACCTCATTTTGTTATTGTGAAATGATAAATAAATATAACTAAACTTTTTGCATATATGTTGTAGTGTATTTGTGATACATTACCAGCAGTAAAATTCCCAAATCCTGTCATGCATTTCAAATTTCGAAAGATATTGCCAAACTGTTCTCTAATTATATCAATACTCTGAACAAAAGTGTTTGAACAGTGTTTGAACAATTCTGTTTCCTCTTACTTTCACTACCACAAGATATTGTTAAACATTTTAGTTCATGATATTTTGATAGATAAAAATTGATGTCTCTGTATCATATGACCTCACTGATATGAGGAATTCTTAATCTCAGGAAACAAACTGAGGGTTGCTGGAGTGGTGGGGGGTGGGAGGGATTGGGTGGCTGGGTGATAGACATCGGGCAGGGTATGTGCTATGGTGAGCACTGTGAATTGTACAAGACTGAGGAATCACGGATCGGTACTTCTGAAACAAATAATGCAATATATGTTAAGAAAAAAAAGAAGAAGAAGAGAGCAGGAGGGGAAGAATGAAGGGGAGTAAGTTGGAGGGGGAGACGAACCATTGGAGACGATGGACTCTGAAAAACAAACTGAGGGTTCTAGAGGGGAGGGGGGTCGGGGATGGGTTAGCCTGGTGATGGGTATTAAAGAGGGCACATTCTGTGTGGAATCATGGAACACTGCATCAAAAACTAATGATGTAATGTATGGTGGTTAACAATAAAAAAATTATTAAAAAAAAAAAATTGATGTCTCATAATACTTATTTTTATTTCCTTAAATCTGAAAGCAATTCAACTGAGCTTCTTTGCTTGTGTATTGGCCATTTTAAATACCTTTTTCATTAATGCCCACTTCATATTATACTATTTTTCTATTTTTAAAAAATATTTTATACAAAAAATATATCATGTTACATATTCAATACATACTTACATGTATTGAAATTTTCTTGTCATTTTTTGACCCTATCCATCAATGTAGCTAGCTATCCTGCCATACAGAGAATGCACATTTTTTTAATAATCAAAATTCGAATTATTTTTCTTCATGGCATCATGATGGTTTCTTGTGTCATTCACACAAAGGTGTCTGTCACACCAATATTTTTATTTTTACAAATCTTACATTCATATTTTCTTCTAGAACTTTTAATGGTTTTTCTGCTTTTGTTTCAACTATTTCAATCTTTGATCCATTGGGATTTATTATTATTTTTTATAGAACTAGGTAAAATCTATATTTTATTGTTTGTTTTTTTGTTGCCTTTTGGAACAACGAAGTCCCAGTTTGTTAACATTTCAAAATGTTCAAATATTAATATTCAAAATGCCACTCTTATTATACACTAGATTTCTCTGTGCATTTCTAAGCCTATTTCTGGATTATTTATTCATTTCCATTAATGTATCTGCCCACTCTCTCTTTAATACCAAACTTTTAATTATTATTCTTTTTTTCTTTTAAGATTTTATTTATTTATTTGACAGAGAGAGAGAAAGCGAGGGAGGGAATACAAGCAGGGGGAGGGGGAGAGGGAGAAGCAGGCTTCCGGCTGAGAAGGGAGCCAGATGCGGGGCTGGATCCCAGGACCCTGGGATCATGACCTGAGCCGAAGGCAGACGCTTAACGACTGAGCTACCCAGGTGCCCCTAATTATTATTCTTTAGACTATTTTAAGATCTGGTAAAACTAGATGCCCCCTAACCATTATTTTTCTTCAAAAAGGGGGTTCAAATTATTTTTTTCCTGAGGATTTTTACCCAGTGGTATTATGATGGTATTTCAATTGGAATGTCCAGTGCTAATTTTTTTTTTTTAAGATTTTATTTATTTACTTGACAGAGAGAGACACAGCGAAAGAGGGAACACAAGCAGGGAGAGTGGGAGAGGGAGAAGCAGGTGTCCCGCTGAGCAGGGAGCCGATGCAGGGCTCAATCCCAGGACCCTGGGATCATGACCTGAGCCAAAGGCAGACACAACAACTGAGCCACCCAGGTGCCCCTCCAGTGCTAATTTTAGCTAAGCATGAAATGATATAAAATACCTATTCCTACATAATTATTTGAAGTTTTTGGTTTTTTTTTTTAAATCTCACTGGGAAGGCACTCCGTAGTGGAGGAAAACGGGTAAATGGGTGTGGGTTTGAGTTCCAGACGATCTTTTTACCATATGAATGGCCTTAGGTGAATTCTTTAACTTCTCTGCTCCTTCATTACCTTACCTATAATATATAGTTATAATATTTATTTTGTAGAATCCTCTTGAGGAAAACTTACATGAAAGCTTATGGAACTTATAAAGCTGAACAAGACTTGATTCTAGAGGGGAGGGGGGTGGGAGGATGGGTTAGTCCGGTGATGGGTATTAAAGAGGGTACGTTCTGCATGGAGCATTGGGTGTTATACACAAACAATGAATCATGTAACACTATATCAAAAACTAAAGATGTAATGTATGGTGATTAACATAACATAATAAAATAAAATTTAAAAAAAACAACAACTTAAGCACACGTTACCTTTGTATTGTTAGTGATTCAAATGACCAGCCTGATATGTTTAGAGATGGGGAATGTTTAAGCAAATTTATGCAAATGACTTATGTCCCAAAGACTTGAATTTGGTATGATCTAACTACTTTAATGACATTGTGGCTAGTCCTGTAATTTAGGAAGGGAAGCTATTAGGCTTCTGTTCATGCGATATGCCTGCTTATAATTATCTGAGTCAACAGCAAGCTAAAACTTTTCTTCGTGGTGTTGGAACATTTCTGAAGGTCATAGTGTCCTGTCAAAGGGAGATTTGGAAATCTCTTCTGCAAGCATTTGCTGCTAATTCTAGTATCTTAAAGCCCTGTAAGCTAATATCTTCTAAAATGCACTGTGATATTTGAAATCCTACTTCCTACATTACTCAGGGGAAACAATGCACTTCACTAAGCTGTCTCAAGCTAAAATTCAGAGTCTATGAAAATGAATTCATTCTCTACGGGAGAAAAAAACGTTTCTTCAGCTTAACGGCTTCTCTGCAAGCACAGTGGGAGAATATATTTAGTTTAAACATCTCATTTGCTTGTACTGTGTGTGTGTGTGTGTGTGTGTGTGTGTGTGTGTGGCTGGGGTGTACTTGCCCAGAGAGGTGGCTGTGAGTTTACAGCTTGCCTTCTCACTCAGGTTAGGGAAATGGGCTTGCTTTGTCCAGACTATAGACCCTAAGAGCCTGTTATTAAATCTTATTCACCCATTGATTACTAACAATCATAAGAATTAACACTGAGAGCTTTCCATGTTCCAGTACTGGGCAGAGTGATTTACATAATTATTTCATCTAATCCTCACAATAACCTTATGAGGTGGGCACCACTGAATAATGTCCAGTCACTAAGGCAGTGAATAGGTACACAGGATTGTAGCCCAGGAAGTTTGATCAGGGCCCACACATTCCTAGCATTTTTACTATACAGCAGGAAGTACATTAGTTGAATTAATAAATTATTCTAATCACATTCTTGAAAAATAGAGAAATCTACCTAACAAAATTATTTCTTATAGGACCTCCAACTCTCTAAGAGTATAGTTAAGAAAAAGGTTTCCCTACAAATCCATTAAAGGATATTGAACATAGATGTAATATATTATTTGAAAAATTTCCGTAAGTTTTCTTAACTGAAATCAAGAAGAAAGCAGAAAACAATTGGACATTATCCATTTGACTGTAGCAAAGGTGAAAAATGCATGAAATGCCACTTATAATATCCCAAACATCCTTGATTTACAACATAGTTCCATCATCAACAATTATTTTTTGTCTTAGCCTCAGATTTGAAGAAACTGGGCAGTCAGACTTTTCAGCTCTTCTTGTTGTTTTAAGGTTATTTATTTTCATTGGCCACTCATATTCTCTTCCTATCCTATAAGTAATAAGCTATGTCATCTGACTTTTCTTATACCCATGATGTGAACGTAGATAATAATGCACTGGGATCTTAATAAAAAGAAGACTGAAATGGCACATTTAAAAAATATCTTGCTGGGGTGCCTGGGTGGCTCAGTCAGTTGGGTGTCTGACTCTTGATTTTGGCTCAGGTCATGGTTACAGGGTCGTGAGATTGAGGCCCGTGTTGTCTGGCTCCGCACTCAGCGGGGGGTCTGCTGGAGATTCTCTCCCTCCCTCTCTCCCTGCCCCTCTTCCTGCTTGCTCTCTCTCTCTCTTTAAATCTTAAAAAGAGTATCTTGCTAATGTCTCAAATTTTTATGTATTTTAAATTAGATACTCTTTGGTCTTTGGAAATAAGTTAGCCATATTTGGTTTGCTTATCCTATATATACTGATATATTATAAATTACTTCAGCCAAATATATGATTGTAAATAAATATTAAATATTCCATACTAACTGTCCTTTTTTAAAAAGATTTTTTATTTATTTATTTTTGAGAGAGACAGATACAGAGAGAGAGAGAGAGTACGAGTGCAAGAGCGGGGGAGGGGCAGAGAGAGAAGCAGACTTCCTGCCGAGCAGGGAGCCTGATGCAGGGCAAGATCCCAGGACCCTGAGATCATGACCTGAGCTGAAGGCAGACACTTAGCTGACTGAGCCACCCAGGCACCCAGTAACTGTCTTTCAATCAGATTACAGTGTTTATTTTCACAGAAGAGCATTGAATAAGCATGAAGCAGACAGTACCGAAGAAATGTAGGTAGAGACAAATATAAAGACATGAGAATTTCCATATCTCTTGAACTTATGATACATCCAACCCAGGTTAACTCTCTGAAAAGGAAAACAAAAGGACCTATTGAGAAACTTCATGCCATAGAAACTTAGAGACTCAATATTAACATTCCTTACTTCTTACAATAGTGTCTGATTTGTCAACTTGCTCCTAAAGTCATTTACTTATGATTTGCTTTGTTCCAGAAGGGATTTTTGGGTGATAAAAGCTATTTGCATTTTCATCCTATCCTAATTCTTGGGAATTAGCAGATTCCACTAGATTACTACTTCCTATATCACATTTCCCTAAATTTGTTTACTTCATGTCTCAGTTATCCTTGAGTTCTAGAATAACAGAATTTGGTCCATGTCCTCCTATCCACATCCTTTATGATTTTACACTCTGCGATTTTATCCTTCTTCAAATCTGTGTCTTTCTAGGCAGAAGAGTTCAATTCTTAAGTAAGGAATTTTCCCAGTATAGTTTTGAAAACGCATAGAACATAGAAAAATGTATATTTATTAAAAATACTTTAAAACTAGGAGTATTTTAAAATTCTAGATTTTGAAACAATATTAATAATATTTCAGAATATCACAAATAGCATTTTCTTATCTCATAGTATAAAGTGTATGGAATCAAAATATAGATAGGCACATTTGTTCAAAAAATGTAATATCAAATATATAGCTACTATGAACAGAAGAATGTTCTATTTTTCCTTTCACATCACTGCTAATTCTTTTTTTTTTTTTTTAAAGATTTTATTTATTTATTTGACAGAGAGATAGAGAGCACAAGTAGGCAGAGGGAGAGGGAGAAGCAGGCTCTCCGCTGAGCAGGGAGCCAGACGCGGGGCTCGATCCCAGCACCCCAGGATCATGACCTGAGCCGAAGGGAAGGCAGCTGCTTAACCGACTGAGCCACCCAGGCACCCCGATCACTGCTAATTCTTAAAGTGATAATACAGTTTCTTTTCTTATTGATTGAAAAATGAAGTTTTGTCGACTATGGTGAGGCACCACCTGCCTCCTTTGTAAAACCACCCTGGTAAGCACACATTTACTTTGATCTTCAGTGAATATTTTGCAATGCATCTGTTATATTCCATAAGAAAGCACAGCCTTGATTTTAAGGGAAATGAATGCACAAAATTACATGTTTCTCTCTTCATTTGAGAATTAGATCTGTAGGAAGATGTTAGAGAGGTTCGTTACCTGGGTTAAATTACAAAGCTAAGAAACTATTAGGTCTACAGTTTCTTGCACCTGCATAAGTGAACCTTGTATGAACAAGCTGAAAATCATGTACATTAACATTAATAAATATTAACAAAGCAAAAGAGATACAATTTGAAAATTACTGCTAATAAAGTGCATTATTGTAATTCAATTAATATTAATAGGTTTAAGAAATAAAAAGGCTAAGATGCATTTGGTGCTCATTTTAAAACATTTTGCAGGTTGAAACCAGGGCACATACATGGTTTTATATTCGGAAAGCGGTTTTTTGCTCTGTTCCAAGGCAGATCGGCATCAGTTGAAGAAAGATCCTGAAGAAATTTTGGCAATTCCTGTGGAATGAAGTCATTGCAGTTTAGATTTATTTCAGAGGTAAACAAGAAATTCTACTTAGGAAAAAACTATTCTTTATTCTAAACCCTTTTACTTTTAAATTGAAAACACCTTTATTCTAAACCCTTTTACTTTTAAATTGAAAACACCTCTAATAACTGCAGAAACAAGGTCAAATTAACAGCAATGAACTTATGTAAACGTTTACTGAAAATATCCTGAAAAAAATGGTCAGTTGGTCTATTGCTTTCTCTGGGATAACTTCTTTGTACTTCTAGAAGCTCTAAGATGTGGCAACCATGTTACTAATAACGCTTTTCCATACTTTACTAATGGTTTCATCAGGAACACACTGAGTATTATTTAATATTTTAATGTCTACTTAGTAGGGGAAGGGAGTTCGGTGATTTATTATTTGTTTTTTCTCCTCAGGCAGTGTGATTTCATGCCTATTAATTGGTACAACATTGGTCAGTTTAAGAAGATGCCAAAGGTCAATTCCTGTTCTCAGTAGGCATTGTTAAATCGATACTGGAATGCAAAGGTGTGATTAAGAATTATCAGACACAGCTGAAGGGTCAAGGAGATCCATTATTGACATTTTGGTAAAAAATCATGATATTATCCATTCATCATTAAGAAAGTTGGTGCAAGAAAATGTGTTCATTATTTTGTTGAGCTGGTGATTTATATTTACAAAGTTTATAGTTTTTCATTTTAGAAATAAATCTCAACTTGCCAAATTCCTTAAAAAGTGTTAAAATTTGTTTTTACAATTTTTCAACATCATTATAAACTACTCCTTTTATTAGATAAGCCTTCCTTTCCCTCTTATTTTTCCTCAAAAAGAAAAGCCAGTCTTTTGCGTGTGGGTATGTGCAGTGTAAGCATCTGAAATCTGGTGTACTGGCACAAAAGGCTTAGAAAAAAATTTGTTTAACCAAGTAGGGAATCCTAGAACGCTTTCCCTGTGTCAAGGTGTTGGGAGTATATGTCAGCATATTCATATACATAAAGGAATAGGAGAGGAATAGAGGAGAAAACAAAGGTGAAATGGAAATCTCCTGAAAGGTGGTACTTTTTTTCTGTAATTATTTCACATAGAAGTTTCCAATTATAGATTTAATGACTGTGGCCTTGATAATCAATACCCAATTACCCGGTTGACTGTTTGGATAGTAATGTCACACTTGCAACCTTTTTCTTACCAGGGAAGACAGGGCCTCCATCATCCTATTCAGTTCTTTCTCCTACTGTTTGTTCTTTTCAGTGGGATCATAGATGAGTGAGACTGTTTTGCATCCTTATGCTTTTGCATTTCTTCTCCCTCTCTGGGATACTCTTCCCCCTTTATTTACCCTTTGGTTTTCTACTAATCCAAAAGTTCATCTCAAACAACACCTTTTTGTGCAGTCTGTCAATCCTCACTTCTTTCTGCATATCTCTGTCATGATACAGTGTACTTATGCATTTTTTGTGCATGTCTGCAGTTCTTATCATAGTATGAGCTTCTTTATGGTAGAAGTCATAGTCGTAATACATTGCTAATACTTGTGTCAGCCACTATTCTTAGTGTTACACACATTCAATCATTTTAGTGTTCACAACTCAGTGAGATAAATACTATTATTGGTAAATACTATTATTTTACAAATGAGGATATGGAGGAACAGAGACTTTATGTGATTTATCCAAAGTCACTTAGCTATTAAGCATTGAATTGATATATATCAATAAGCCAAATACAATGCCTACCATATAGTAGGAGCTTATAAATATTTAAGGTATAAGTGGTTATGATCTGAGTTTTAAAGTTTATCAAATATGCATTTATTTATTTAAATATAATTTTGCTTTAAAAAACTTAATATAGCATTAGGATAAAAAACAATTAAAAAAATTCCTTACATGTATAGATACATTTATATAATACATACATACAACCTATATATTTGTATTTAAAAAGTTCTTAAAACCATGATTTCCAAAGAAGTTGAACTAGAAATTTTCTCAATGTAATATATGTGAAAATGTTGTTGCTAATAAAACTTTTCATCTACTCAGTCATGCATAATGTAATTATATTTGCTCCTATTCTAGTGAAATTACACTTTTGCTTCTGAAAAATTGTGAGTTCTCGCTGTGTAAATGCTAAGAAAAGTTTTATGGTACCATCTATTTTGTTAAGTCCAGGCCAATATTACTTAAGAAGCATAACCAAAGAGCTGTAGGAAATACCATTAATCTTCTCACATTTTGTTATTATTCCCTGAGAGGCTGAAATATTATAATTCTGAATTATTCAAGACAATTGCTTAATTCTTTGTTTCATAGGTTCACACACTAAAAATTTCATGAAAAAAAAGAAATATAGTTTTTGGTGACATTTAGAAATCCATATTACTTATATAATACAAAATAATCACATAAGTTTGGAAAGATGCACACAAGTTTTAAAAATGTTTAGAGATCTGATAATATACCTTATGCATTAATATAATTTGAATTTTATAGATATACAAAATGTTGAAAGCAATATAATTAATCTTAACTTTTAAATAGTGTTAAAGTGGAATGCTCTTAACTCAACATATTCTCCATAAGGTGATAGTGTATTTATTTCACAGTAACTTAAAAATAGGTCTCATAAAACACAGGTATTTTTACTTTTAGGTAGTTCTAGAAATAATATTTTTGTAGTTTCTGGAAACATCACGTTCTGTTCTCAGGTTCATCTATAACACTAACATAAACTAAGCAGGCAAATATAAAATGGAATTATTTGGTCTCTAAATCTAAAATAATTATTTAAATATAAAACCACAATTATGGTAAAGCCTAAATCTCACACACCAGCAAAAACCAATGAATACAACCTTCCAGACTTTCCAGACTCCCATGCACATCTGGATGAAAGAGCAGAGCAGAAATGGGGCCAGGCTGCCATTGCTGGGGAGGTCTGAAGAAGAGCACCCTTTCCTCACACAGTAGGTGAATAATTCTGTTCAGGTTGCACCAGAGGCCACCCCGTGTAACATTACTATCCAAACAATCAACCTGGTAATTGGGTATTGATTATCAAGGCCAGAGTCCTTCATGGCCTTGCATGCTTAAAATGGACATGAAATGTGACACATGAAACGACTGGAGGTCTGGCAATGTTGTGACAACTGCTAGTAACATACCAAAAATTCTTCTTGAAACTTTAGGTTGTTGTTTGTGCAAAGCTCTTCAACATGTTGCAGGAAGGACTTCTTGCTTACCGGCCTCCAAGCAAAGAGAGGTAGAAAATGGAATCATGTTAGATTGGCACTGGCTGTACAGTGAATAAGTCAAAGAACAACAGATATTTCAAAACCCATAACCACACAGCCCTTTAAAGTCATTTTGCCATATTTACAAAATTAACTTTTCCCCTGTAAGTGTGCTTTCTTTGTATTCCTGACACAAAATCCTTTCCATTTTTAAGTGACTTTATATGAATGATTTCACATTGTAAGGAAAAAAGTTTTTCAAGTAAATATAAGGGCATAAAGTTATCATTGAATCCTAAAGCACATAATACCTCTTTGTCATACAGAAAACATTTTATACATTACAAGGTTTTAGAAGATATAAAATATTGCAGTGACCTCATTCTCATAATGATATGGTTTTTAAACCCTAAGGAGTTTAAATATCCCCGTATTACTTCCCAAGCTAAAATACAGACATGCAGGCTTCACCCCAGAGAGAGAGAAAGCATTTCTCCAGTTACCATGCAATTAGTCATGCTTTTATGATTTATATCCAGCTTGGAGGTTTTTCTAGCAAACATACAAAAAAGGAACCACACATTAAGATTCATTGAATCAGTGAATCTAGCATTGACATTCAAAAAGAAGAAAAGATATTTAACAAACTTACTTGATGGATTTTCTATAACTAAGTAACCTGCAACAGAGATTGTGTTAAATGCGTGATAAGCTGAGGGGATAGGTCTTTCTGAAAGAGTTCTAGATTAAAATTAAAATCTAGATAAATATAATAAATCAGTAATGTATGATGTGCTATGCCTTTACCTGATATGCAATCATTATTTTAAATTCTATTTCATCTTTCTAAATTATATTATTTGGACTCAATATGGCCAAATAATAACTTAGCTTCCCTCTCAAGCTAAGATACTCTTTTAATATTGTTAGGCCTTTGGGGTACTATGTTAAAAACAGGTCACTTTTTTATATATTGCATAGTATTTAGAGTCTAAGAGAGTTAATGTATATTTATTTATTTTATTTATTTATTTTTTTAAAGATTTATTTATTTATTTGAGAGAGCGAGAATGAGAGAGAGAGAGTACACGAGAGGGGGGAGGGCCAGAGGGAGAAGCAGGCTCCTCGCCGAGCAGGGAGCTCGATGCGGGACTCAATCCCAGAACTCTGGGATCATGACCTGAGCTGAAGGCAGTCGCCCAACCAACTGAGCCACCCAGGCGCCCGAGTTAATGTATATTTAAAAAAATATTTTCTTTGTCCATAGAGAATGCTTAACCAGGGGGAGTGGATCTTTGAAAAATGACATCATATTGCCTAAGTTTTATTTCATGAGTGAGTTTTGATGAGTATATAACCATAAAAAATCACAATTCTTTCAGTTCCTTTAGACATATCTCCTGTGACATTTCATTGGTCAAGTTATTCATACTCTGAAAAAAATTGAAATAATTTTTAACAGCCAAATAGACTATGCAACACACACAAATTCAAAGATGGGAACATCTTTAATAACACATTTGTCATGCACAATCAATTAGCACTGCAAAACCACAAAAGGCACAAAGTATAATGAAATAAAATGAATAAAATAAAAATTTTTCAAAGTTTTAAATTTTAAGTATTATCAAGGATGATTTTACTGCATTCCTGAAGTGAATAATGTTTATAAGAGGATGTGGTTTTCGAAGTAAAGGACAAATGAAAGAAAATAATTAGATTGAAAAATGTGTCATAATGAATACTACGAAAATGGTTACAAAGGGGTGTGTTCAATGAAAAAAACATGAGTTAAAAAGTTCATTTTATTACAGTATAGAAATTGGTGAAAAATATGGGGGTGCAGAAGCAAGCACTACCAAGAAGAATGATAGAATTCTGGTTTATGTGATAGGTGTCCCCAAGGAGAAGGAGGTATCTCCCAGCTTCTCAGGGTATAACCTCATACAACATCCCATTATCAAACATGGAGTCACAATGATAAAACAGCAATGTTTGAGCAAAGTCTTGGTAGATGAACTTGTAAGCTTCCTACAATAACCTAGAATGATTCTGAGAAGGCAAGAGAGAAATTTTTAACTAAATGGATATGGAGATGGTTTGAATGCGCTGCTGAATCAAAAGAATCCTTGATTTGGGGTTTGGGACAGGAAGATAGAGGATGTCTGAATTAGAGGCCCTGGAAATACTTCTGACATAGCAACAGATAAAGTGGGGACTGAGGCAACAATCAATCCCTGTTGGAAATAATTACCCTTCAGCAAAGACCAGCAAGAAAAAAATACAATCATGGGCTAGACCCATACCACCCAAAAACACTTAATGACTGATGCCCAGTGCTCTTATGCCATCATGTTCCTCAGAAACAGGAAAGGCGAGGGGGTTAGGTTGGGCAAATCCTAATTAACTGAGCTTAAGATAGAAATATGAATATTTGATAGAAATATGAATATTTGAATTGGCAAGATCAATTTCCCTGCTACCACACAGAAATGGAAATTCTTGACTTGCGTGGATATCACTTTCATAACAACAGGGAATATTATTCAGTTTGTGATTGGTGAAATTCACACACACTACATCTGATTTAATGACAGGCTTATGGTCCACCTATTTGAGAACAGTCAGACTGCCATCCTACAGTAGAAGGGTCTCTCTTTTCCTAGAGAATCCAAGATTATTTGAGGTGGTATTGGCAGAATACTTTTACTAGGCTATCTAGAATCTAAAGTAGGGCTAACTTCTGGGCAGCAATCAATGAGGAATTTGAAGAATCAGAATACGTTCATCAAATCCTCAAAAGACATTAAACATGAATAATCATATTAAAATATAAATGCACAAGAAATAGCTAAAGCACCATGTTACTATTCACATCCTTGCTCTTTTTCTCATTATGCTGTCTATTCTCATTTAGAAATTATAATTAATAAAAATAAATAAAAATATTATAAAAATATGAATAAAAACTAATAAAATATTTTTCTTTTGTCAATTTCTTTATAGTTTCACTGTAAACACTACAGAAAGTTGTTTTTCAAACGCTACAGAAAGTTGCTTTTTTTTTACTATTATTTTATTTTGCATTTGAAAGATCTCTCTAAAAATACTATTTTTAAACTGTAACTGGGTAGCTATTGGATCCAGATGGATATTTGTGACTTCTTTCTGTACTATAAAATATGAAGGCTTCAAATACCTGCTCCAACAATTACCAGCTACATTACCTTGAGCAAGTTACTTAATCTTTCTGTGCCTCAGTTCCTAATTTGGAAAACAGGGTAAGTATACGTAAATCCAGCTCATATATGTACAACGCTTAGAAACGCCCTTGGCTTTGGAAGCAATACATAAATATTAGTTAATATCATTAGTATTATAATTGCTATTCCTCCTTTATTTTGTAAAACTCAAGCTCCTTTTACCCATTTGTCCCACAATTCACACTGATATAAAGGAAGATAATTTTTTTCCAGAAGAATATCCTATCTTAATTTTACTCAAAACTGGGTAGATTAAAATGTGCTAACTTAAGCAGCAAGATTTCCTATTTTATTCTTCTTAATCAGGGTCTCTAGTATAAAGAGTGGTCATAAATATCCAGACTTCAAATCCGAGTCTGGCTTTTCTAGTTCTCAATTTAAGATCCTAAATAAATCCTTAATACCATAAAGATTGTGATAATTCAGTTTTCACATTATCATGTGAAGGCATTCTCATCACACTGGCACTTTTAATGTTATTCCTTACGACTACCTTTCACATACCCTGTTCGTATTCCAGCAATTCTGTGGCATCTCTCCCTCTCGGTTTGTACCATTCTAGGTGTTTTCCCACAACCAGGTCCTACCGCTTCCTCAATAGCTGATTCAAATGTTAACTCTTTCATGGACCTTCCCTGTTCTATTATAGAGAAAATAATTTCATAGAAATGAAATTTCTATGCACAAACCACTTTCCACCTTGTATTCTGGCTACATAAGCACATGATTAAGGATACATGCATTGAGGTTCATGTGTACTCGAAGGCAGGGGCAGGATTAACACTGCCTTACTGCAAGACCCTCATAACCTTATTCATAGTAGACAATGAATAAATCATTATTAAATATACAATTTTGGATGCATTCAGACTAAGATACACAGAAAGCTAAATGTAAGCACTGTGCTTATTAAGAGAGTATCTGAACTGAATGGATTTTCCACTAAAATAGTAAGCAATTGAGAATTTTCAGGAGCTTTAGATAAGTATGATCAATGATGTATCAATAAACACTATATGAGTCCAGGGCGCCTGGATGGCTCAGTCGGTTAAACATCTGCCTTCGGCTCAGGTCATGATCCCAGGGTCCTGGGATTGAGTCCCATATTGGGCTCCTTGCTCAGCAGGCGCAGGGAGCCTGCTTCTCCCTCTCCCCAACCCCCTGCTTGTGTTCTCTTTCTCTCTCTGTCAAATAAATAAAATCTTAAAAAAACCCAAAACACTATATGAGTCTAAACAAAGCCATATTAGATCCCCTAACATTAGAAAGTTAACAGGTGCTAGGAAATTAGATATATGAACAATAAAATCATCTTGCCTATCCAAGTAAAAAAAAGATAGACTTCAAAAAAAGAGTAAGATCTGTTTTGGCTTTATTTTCATTTGTATCACTCTCTTTATCTAAACCCAGTCACTTTATGTAACCTATTCTTTACATTTGTATTTACATAATGTGAGAAACAAGACTTCTAAAGTCTAATTTTTATGTAATTTTCCAGTCTATGCCAACGTCACCAGTATGTGTAAAATGAAATTGAAATACTTATCTGGGTAGCTTAAATTGAGAAGACATTTTGGCAAATATTACCTAACTATTTCAAATAAAAGATTTTTTTGTTGTTGTCTGTAGTAGTTTTGATACTTAGCCTCATAATGTATGGGCATATTTTTTCTTTAGAATTGGCTGCATCTGGGGTGCTTGGGTGGTTCAGTAGGTTAAGCATCTGACTCTTGATTTTGGCTCAGGTCATGATCTCAGGGTTGTGAGATCAAGACCCATGTCAGGCTCTGTGCTCAGTGAGGTGTCTGCCTGAGATAGTCTCTCTCTCCCCCTCTGCCGCACCTCTTCCCATTCTCTCTCTCTTTCTCTCAAATAAATAAATAAATAAATTTTTTAAAAAGGGAATTGGCTGCATTCTAAATTTTATTATAGGTTTTAAAGTTTTGTTTTTAAATAGGAAAAAAATTAATTTGGACAACTTATCCAGGGAATTAGAAAAGAAGGTGGGGCATAATACAAAAAAAAAAAAAAAAAGCACTGACTTTTACTGATGAAGAAATTAAATTCTTTAGGAAAAACTGTTTGATTAGATAAGTATAAAAAAACCTTACAGAAATTAATGTGCATGAAAGTCAACAATGTTATTTTTAGGAGTGCTATTTTCAAATTAAGTGATCTGTGAAGACACTCCAAGAAACTCATATAGAAAACTTTTTATTAACATTTTTAAAAACAATTTGTTACATGAAGAGCATTTTAGACTGGTATTTTATTCACTTACAATAGTGAATGATACTGTCAAATCAAATTCAGTTCATTATTATATAAATCAATTTGGGAATTGTCCAGATTTCAATAAGAAAACTGACCACTTTCTAACAGAAAGGGCTAAACGCTTTTTATTACATGAATCTTA